AACTGCTGACGAGCTGCCAGGAGAGAAACCATAATGCGGATTAGACCAAACACCCGCTCCCACTAACCACGTTTCCTCTGCTCGGCACGGCCAGAGCTCAGCATCCATCCACCCCGAGTCCTGYGGCTGCTCCGTCCTCCCCTGGAAGAAGAACAGATTCCTCGGGGGAGGACTGCCTGCCACAGCGAGGCGATGTAGGGGCCAGAACTGCAGCAATTTCCAGTGGCACTTTGCTCCTACAGCACCTGGGACCTTTCAAAAATCCTGCTGTTCAATGCGGGGCTTCTTTTCCCCCCGTTTGACCATTGCCCGTTTTCCTTCCCAAGGGCCAACCACTGCCCCCAACCAACCCAACCCCAACACCCGTCTCGCTGGGCGATTACAGCACAAGCCACTTCCGCRGCTATTAGCGGTAAATAACAACAACAACAACAACAGACCCAACGGTCCAACATTGTTCCAATCCGTCGCCCGTTTTGCACGATGGAGGAAGCGAAGCACGAGCGTTACCTTCATGTCGGAGGAGCGCGGGCACATGGAGCGCGCGGAGCCGCTCCGGCTCCCGGCCGCCCGTAGGGCCACACGTGGTGGCTCAGCGAGAGCCTCCTCCGGGGCTGAGCGGCGCGAAACAGAGAAGTGGCAGCAGGGAAAGGCTTTTTGGTTTCCTCCCTCCCAAACGTCCTGCTTACTCTGGCTTCCTGGTTAAAAAAACAAAAGAGCAAGAGATAAAACAGGCGAAATAAAAAACCCTAATGAGAAACCCGCCGCGTGCGCCGCTCGCCCCCGCGGCGCCCCCGCAGGGCTCCTTCTCTGGGGCTGTGCAGCTGCCACCCGTGCGGGAGCCCCGGCGGGGCTGAGGGGGAGGAGGGTGCCCCAGAGGGGCTCCCTGGGCCTTTGGGGCGCCGAGGAATTTCCGCGGCCGAGCGAGCTCTCTCAGGGACATTCCGCTGCCGCGGAGGCTGGCGGGAAAGCCCGAGCTTCTGCAAAGGGGCTCATGGAGCTGTGGCCGCTCCAGTTTCACGGGAAGAAGGGTGAGAAGGAGCCTGGGGGCCCCCGGGGCGGGCGGAAAGGGGCAGCACAACCCAGCGGGACCTGCTTCCTGGTGCCCAATGCGTCTCTCTTCCTGCACTGTGCTGTTCCGCTCGGTGTATCCTGGGGGATGCCACGCGCAGCCCCTGCCTGCCTTGGCATGAGCGTGTGGCGGTCATGTAGGCTGCAAGGGGCGTCCACGCTGCTCACCGAAGGAGCAGGCGAGGAGAGGACCCCTCGAACCCCCTCCCGTGTCTCCGGCCTCAGCGCCTCCCTTCCCACGCGCACAACACGCGGCTCTGGTGGCTGCCACTGAGGGGGCACGAGCAGGGAGCTGCTGGCGACACAACAGCCCTGTCCCCCGCGGCCACCGAAGAAGGAGAGCGCCCTCCTTCCCAGAGGCTTGGGGCGGGAAGCGCCACGTGGGCTCCCTCGCACTGYCCCAGCTGCGTGGGAGCGCCAGGACACACTGAGCGGGAGAGCGCGACGGGCCGAGGCGCCACGCGGGGCRGCTTGTTCCAGCTGCCCTCCTAGCTGAGGGTCTCCTGCGCTCCACAGCCTCCACCCTCCCCGAAGCGCCCCAAGGGCGGCGCCGTGGGTGACCTCCCGGCCTCACTCCCTCCCATGGCAATTCCGTGGCTCCGTGGCTCCAYGAGCCGAGCACGACACGGACAGGGAGCCCGGCGGTCACCTGGTGCCTTCGGGAGGCACTGAGGGCTCCACGAGCACCAGGCAGCCCGGGGGGACCTGGTCCCAGGGAGAGCAGCAGCGGAGCGGCTCTGCTGCCTCTCCCCGGCGCCCTCCTCTCCTCCTCGCCCTCTTTTCTCAGGTAGCTCCCTGCAGTCAGGGTAGCCGAACACTCCGTCTCCTCCAGCCCTCGAGGAAACTCCGTGTGGGCCACAGCCGGTCCCGGCCCAGGGCCGCTCGCTGTGCGAGCAGGGGCCGTCCCCCTGGCAAGARGCGCAGGGGACAGGAGAGGCCCAGAGCGGGTGGCAGGCTGAGGGGGAGAAGGGCCAGGCCAGCTCTGCGCGGTGTGTGCCGTGCGGGCCACGGACGGGGACCGCCGGACACGGAGGGTGCAGAGCTGCTGCCCCAGAGCCTCACTCAGGCTCCCACCGTTAATATGTCTCAYGGTAGTGGGACGCGCTCGTGGATTGGATGAGTTTTACGACAAGGTAAAGCAACTGCAGGATCTGCTTCTTTCTGCAACTCTTCATCTTTTTTTCCACCGGATTTTTGAGCCAGTATCTTCTTTCTTTAAAGTAACTTTTTGTTTCCTTTTTACCAAAACAAGTGCAGGAATGAGGTATGGCAGAAGAAAACACAATAGTAACGTAAGCACAAGGACACAAATTATAAGGGTGGTGCAGAAACAGAAGCGAAGATCAGAAGGAAAGAAAGAGCTGGGCCCAGAAGAGCTGCCTTGCCGGTGGCAAGGGACGATTCCCCGGGACGATTCCCCGGGAGGAGCTGAGTCGGGCAGAGAAATGGGGCAGGTGGCTCTGCGGAGTCAGTCACGGCCCTGGGAAAGTGACAGGGCAGGAGGCGGGGGAATGAGCTGAGTGCAGGATGGCAACGGGAAAAGAAGAGAGTGGGGGGAAGGAGAGAAAAAGAGGGGGGGAAGAGAAAAAGAAAAAAAAAAGAAAAAGGAAAAAGGAGAAAAAAAGGGGAGAAAAAAAGAAAAAAAAAAAAAGAGTAAACTCTGTAGGGCTCTTCTACTCTTTAGTCTGGGCTCTTCTAAGGGGAATGTAGGGAGGAAGGGGCCAAGCTCTTCTCAGCGGTGGCCAGTGACAGGACAAGGGGCAGTGGGTGTAAGTAGAAACACAGGCAGYTCCATCTCCATGTGAGGAAGAACTTCTTCCCTGTGAGGGTGACAGAGCCCTGGCACAGGCCGCCCAGAAACCGCTCAGCCAGTTTCACCCCCTCCAAGACAGRGAGGCTGTGGAGGCTCCKTCTCTGGAGACCTTCCAAACCCGCCTGGATGCCGCCCTGTGCCCCGTGCTCTGGGTGTCCCTGCTGGAGCAGGGGGGTTGGACTAGATGATCTCTAGGGATCCCTTCCAACCTCAACCACTCTGTGATTCTGTGATTTTGTCCTGCCTCGCAGGGAGCTGCCAAGGGCACATCCTGCTCTGAAGCGGTTGCGGGAGCCCCTGGTCGGGTGACTGGTCCTGGTCGTCGCAGACTCCCTGCGGTGGAAGATCCCGCACATGGAGAGGGGAGGCCGGTGCYGAGCTGAGGCCCAGCAGCGGGTGCAGAGGCCGCAGCGTGAGGCCAAGGGGTGAAAAGCACTCGTGTGTTTTCAGGGCTGCAAGACAGAGCGTAACAAGCAGAGGGGCAAGACAAAATCCTCAGCGGGTGGCTGGAGCAGGAGGTGCTGCCGCCCAGGCTATGGAATTGCTTTCAGATCACAGAGCCTGCTGTATATTCCCCATTCCAAGGAGAAATGACTTGAGGCGGGGTTTTCTATCCTGATAAACCCCAGTCCTCAGGAGCCCTTGTGACTTCCAAATAAAAAACAAGCAGGTAGAACACGGCTGGCAAAGAAACCATCCTGGGCAGGGCAGTGCGGGCCTGCTGCAGTTAAACCCCCCGTATTATCAACCAGAGTTCTGTCTACAAGGAGCTCCCAGCCGGAGACGCTCGCCCGGCGCTGCTCACGCCGCTCGCTTCCAGAACACAGCAGCTCGGAGGGCGAAGGCAGCCCTGGCCAGGGGCAGCYGGGAGCCTGTTGCTGCTCGTGGCTGCGTCATTCCTGGGAGTTGCTCCCTTCCAGAGCCTCATCCCTCTTCTCCTGGCCGCTTTCACCAGCTTTCCCCAGGGATTCACTGCATGTGGGGCGAGAGGCGCCTGCTTCTGCCTTCACCTGGGCCTAGCTACRTGCTTGCTCTGCACCTGGGGCTCACGCTGAGTAACTCAAATCCTGCTAATTCTTTRGCATGTCCAAGAAATCCCGCTCTGTTCCGCCCCAGGCAGAGACCCTCGTGTACAACTGAGGGCAAGAAAATCACAAAACCAATCGACCAATTTCACCCCCTCCAAGACAGAGGATAGCGACTCCAGCAGGGGAAGAGGATGGAGACCGAGCAGGATTCCAGGCAGTCATGGTGCAGGGAGCAGCTGCGTTAACATCAGAGTTCAGATTGGTGTGACCAGCACCCACGCTAGCACTTCAGGACAGCCTCAAATATCCAGATGAGGAAGAATTTATAAATAAAGAAAGAAAGAAATGTTRCCCATGAGCTTAAATCTACGGGTCCTGTAGCGGCTAAGGCAACGGCCCAAGGCTTTTCCAGGGGTTCCCAATTCGGTGGAAACCCCTGCGGATGAGGGCGGTTTGAGGCTTTCTGATGAGTCAGCCCCAGAGGGAAGGAGGGCGGCAGGAAAGGCAGCGCCGGGCCGGGGCTCGCGCCTGTCGCTGCCCTCTGAACACGCAGCAGCGTCAGGGAAAGATACAGGAAGAAAATCTCAACAGGGCGATTCTCATCGCTGAGACCCCGCGACGCTTCCGCGCCACGGACGGCGCGCGATGCAAGAGTTAGGTAAAAGGGAGGGAAATACGACACGCTTCTAAGCAACCGTAAAAGCAGGGAGGGAAGTGTGTGGGCTCAGATGAACGAGATACACAGAGACTGCATCAGAGGAAACCGCGCTCATGACAGCGCACAAACTTGCCCGCTTCATCAGGAACTTTTTATTCTTCGAGCATTTTGGCATTTTTTTTTTCTCTCATCACACATCAGAAAATACATGAGACCCCTCATGTATTGTAAGCGCTTCCATAACATTCCTATATCAATAAGGAACGAAAAATCAACAACTTTGAAAATAAATTATTTTTCTAACATACACAGAGTATTTCACTGCTACTAACAGATGTCAGAATCTTCCAGGCAGCTTCAACACTTGTAAGAGTGCAAAATGAAGCACCAAGTGACCTGGACTTAGCAAATAAGGGCTTTATAAATTAAATATACATTTGTGACTTAACCTTTTTGCTGTACTTAAACTATCATGAGTGCAAAAACATTTTAAGAAACCCTTCTGCGACTAAGCAGAGCCCCAATACCCTCAACCCTCCCAGGAGACAAGTTCAGATCTTCAGTTTTGTCACACAGGCAAATGAAGGTGTCCCCTGTAACACATAAGGCCACACACAGAGCCTTGTAGTTGGTTCAAGTTTCCATTTTTAAAACCCTTCCCTGTAACAATTAACATATATTGAATCCCATAAACCAAAGGATGCCCTTGCGCAGAAAGGATGGAATGAGAAACATTTGAAAAAAAAATTTAAATGGCAGTTTCCCATTTTTAGCTTCTCTTTTCCCGAACAATTAAACAAACATTTTCACTAATAAACCTGCCCAACACAACAGAAAGTTTCTCAAAATGATCATGAGCTTCAAAATCACTGTGCAGTGTCATTGGTAGAACGGATTACACTTCACATCAACCCTTCATAAATTGCTCTGAAATCTTCTGATGAACACCAGAAAACATAAATCCCAGCAAAAAGACTTGGAAGTGAGCTCAGTATTGAATAATAATAATAATAATTAATAAATAAGAAAAGGCAGGCGGGTTCTTGCTCCCGTAAGGTTTAGGATCAAAAGGCTCAGGGTGGGAATGCAAGTATCACATAAAAATTCTTTTCCTCAGCTGAAGAAAACAGAAAGAAATAGAAAAAAAGGCATCGAAAGTCTTGTGACAGAGATGACTTCACACAAGAAGGAAGACACCTGAGAACCCAGAAATCCCCTTCCAGCCCTGTTTCATATTAATCAACTTGAAAAAATAACCAGCAGCTTAACCTACGTCCCCATTAAAATCCATTTAGAAGCTTAAAAGCTTAAAGACAGCAAGTGATTTTTAAGTGTATTATTGCTTGTGACTCCGTTGCCATGCATGGTGGATAGGCAACCGGAGCAGCCCGTGACAGGAGGAGATGAAGGGAAACAAAACCACGTCTGCAGCTGCACTGAATTTTAACATTAATAACCCTTTAGATACTCCCCTTCTCCTTCCTATTTCTGAGTCCAAAAGAAATTAAAATATTGGTCTTCATTCCAAATTAACTGGCAATTTCCCTCAAGTTCTTGACCTAAAACTTAATCTGTTATTAAAAAGAATTAACCTAGTTAATCTAAAAGAGATTCTACCACAAGATGATTAGACATTGCTGTGAAGAGCAATCTAATTTCTTCCTCCCTTCATCATCAAAACATCTGGAGATTTCTTCCTACCTATGTACTCTTGATTATTAAGATCTATAAGGAGTCGCTGTTGAGGAACAGTAGTGAGCAYTGCAGCTCTCAGGCCACGGCACATGCACGCTCAATACGGCTTTATAAGGGAAACCAAAGGGTTAGTCCACAAATTAAGTAGTTTCCTTCACAGTCTGAGCTTGAGGAGCCTCCCGTTTATTAAAGTTATTTGCACAGATTTGTTATGCAGGATGAAAGCCTGACAGTCTGCCCATTCCAAAGAGCACACTTGGAAAACATGAAAGCTCGTTTTGCATTATAGTGGTTCCTGGTACCTCCTCAGCCCTGAACTGGTGCGGTCTCTTCTTAGCAGAGCATAAATTCCCATTAACACATTAAAGAAAGAAAAACTTACCTAAAGCTACTTATATTGTAGCTTATATGGCCGCTTTGCAAGGCAGTTGTCAGAAATAACTGGCAAATTCTAACAGTGCTCTGGAAAGACGAGTGCATGCATCTCCTCTTGTCATTTTTAAACTTCTTAAACTTAGCGAGTTTATACACAGGTGCTACTGACTTTGAGAGGCTAAAAGCAGTGACATTTGAGAACAGTTCTCAGCTGTCCTTTAAAATGAACAAACAGCGGAAGACCCTGCAGCTGGCAGCATGAGTTGCCTTGAGGTTCTACCAATAAGAGCACAATCTTCCTGAATGCAGCACAAAATGCAGCAAACATTTCTCAGATGATGAATCTCAGCGACTTCACTGCATGCAGCCCACCAGTTTATCTCAGTTTATCTGTAATTTTCATGTTCTCAGTTGGCTCTGAAGACTGCCTTTCACACCTTCTTTAGGCACGATAAGCCTCGTGGGAAGGACTCCACTGCTGACTTGACACGCGTTTTAGCAAAGCCTCTGGCCAAGACGACCTTTGGCTGGAGCAGGCTCAGAAATAGGACAGTGCTGGATGCCTCTACTTTGTTTTTCTGGCAGGCTGATTTCAATCAAATCACCAAACCAAAGTGCAACAAACTAAAACTAGACAGAGCTTCAATCAAATTAGCAGCAGAAARCACCACTCCAAGAGGCCGCAAAGCCTCCAACTTTAACTCTAGCCAAATATCAAACATTTACCAAGCATCTATATGGAGGATGACACTGGACATTCAATTTTTGGGTGAGTTTTTCAACCCCTTGTATTGGTAACACTGATGAATGAGTGATAAAAGAAGAGCCAAATACCATGGAAGGGATGCAGAAGCCGTGGCAGGACCGAGGCGTCAGGTCCTGTTACTCATTCCTGAAACCCAAGCAAGAGCCTTCAAGCAGCAGCACCAGAGGCGGCAGCCCCGCTTTGCCGCAGCGGGACAGGGCAGACTCGCCCGACAGAGCAAACGTTGTCATTAGCAAGTACCTCAAGCTCGGAGCAGCCACATCTGCTGCCGTTTTTATTTCCGCTTCCCGAAGCTCCTGAGATGGCCTCTTGGCTGCAACAGTCGCACACGCGTTTCTCCATCACAGACAGAGCGAGAAGCAGACTGCATCCAAGCTCCAAGGAGGCACCAGTAGTGCAGGAAGCCCAATAAAGTGCTGGCAATTTGTGCTATTAGCAGCTACACGGGAACACCCAGGGTGCCCGACTGGCGTGCTATGAAACGAAATCCCAACAGCCACCCTTGACGGCTTGATAAGCATTACAGGAGCTTTAGCTGTGCTGCCTTTATTGGTATTAGCAGCTTTAGGACACCCACTTCAGCCTTCTTGTTCGGGCCTCGATACAGCAGCAGTCACGGCACCCTGTGCTTCCCTGACACACGCCGGGAGGACACGTCTCTCCAACCCGGGAATGGGGGAGAAGGGCTGCCCCCCAGCACCCTCTTTCCCAGGATTCACACACCTCTGAGCAGCAAGAATCGGCATTGTATAGATTAGGCAGGCAGTGCTGGCAGCCAGTGATGCCAACAAGCCACATGCTTTCCTATCCAACTTTCTCCGTTCAGTCTGAGGAGTCGACTAACAATTTCAGACACAAATGATATGGCTGAAAGGAACCAACCTGGCAGGATGATGTGGCCTGAACAGCCAACTCCACTGTCCTCAARAGCTCCCAGCGCAAAGGGCAGCCGGACACTCCAGCAGTGTCCCAGTGCCCAGGGTCCYTCCACACCACCCAGCACTGCTCACTAGCCCTGCCAAGAAGCAACCTGACCTCGGCTACAGTAGGACCTGACAGCAGGGACACCTAATTGTGCTAAGTCTGCAGCGGGCATATGTAAGATAGAAACGCATCTATCTGATTCTTAACAATGATTTCATTTGGGTGCAAGTTATGGGGCAAGTGATGAGCCAGAGACATCTCCCAGGCATCCACAAAGTGCACAGCAATTCCTGAGAACATTTTCCTCATGACAGAGTCAAGCTGATAGGAATACCAGTCACTGTTGAAGAGGCTCACTTCGGGCCCGAGCTCCTGAACATTGGCCGTCCTGATGACGATTACGGTCTTGGGGCTGCGATCCAGCAGCTGAATAACGGACCTACGGATGTTGCGCAGCCGCCGGATGTAGACTTCCACGGGGAAGGTGCTGAAGTGGGACCATATAGTTATGGCTATCACAGTGTTTCTGCCGCCCACGATGCCGTTGAGCTCGTTGGCGACGTAGCGCAGCTCGCTGCTGAACACCGTCGTGAAGCGGATGGGCGGCCCGTGGCAGCGGAACCGCAGCAGGATGTTGCGCTTCAGGTCCACCGCCATGAACGGGCCCACGTTCTTAGGGCTCCCCAGGTTAAATTCTACAAGATCTGAAAAAACACAAACACGTGTTAGCTTTCTCCCTTGTGCCACCTTGTATACTGTGCTCTGGCCATAGGGCAACAGGAATGACAGACAAGGGAAGCTCAGCACAATCCTCAGCACCCTGGAATGAAAGGGAAGCGAGCATCATACACGCACTAGCTGCCTATTCCCGAGTGGAGCAGACGGGCMCTGAAGTCTGCCAGGCTGCACACTTCAGCCTCGCCAGGAGGCCAATGCCCTTTCTAGCTTCCCAGGCTGTTTCTGTTTTCTCCTATATTAAAAAGAACTTTGAGAATAAGCACTCTCAGAATAAGTGCCCTTTGAATCCAGTGGTAATGGGAAGCCTTTTGGACAACTCTGGGGCTCCGTTAAAGTATCCTTAACTTGTAAGGCAGATCTTATCAACATGTACAAATACCYGAGGGGAGAATGTAGGGAAGATGGGTCTCTCAGTGGTGGCCAGCGACAGGACAAGGGGTAATGTGCATAAATTTAAAYAGAGGAAGTTCCATCTCCATGTGAGGAAGACTTTTCCTGGGATCCTGTGAGGGTGACAGAGCCCTGGCACAGGCTGCCCAGGGAGCTTGTGGAGTCTCCTTCTCTGGAGATCTTCCAAACCCACCTGGATGCCGCCCTGTGYCCCGTGCTCTGGGTGTCCCTGCTGCAGCAGGGAGGTTGGACTAGATGATCTCTGGAGGTCCCTTCCAACCTCAGCCATTCTGTGATTCTGTGATTAACAATTCTCAAAGTCTGCACTTTAACACAAAACTATTGCTTGCAGAAAGGGAGAAGGAAGGACACAGCAATGTCTAATTGACTACTGAAGCTCTGTTATTTAAGAAAAAGGGAAATGAAAAAAAAAAAAAAAGAGTCCCAAACCAGGCCACAGTAAGAGAAGCCCATTACTCTCCTGCTCCAAAGCCACCGTGGCTTGGGGCTCCTGCCAGACCTTTCCCAGGTGCCCTGTGCCACCTGGTGGCCACGTGCTGCTGACCCGCAGCACTAACAGTAGGCTCCTTTGCAGGACAGTGTTTTTAGCCGAATTCTCCGGGAACGATGTGACCCTCCAGTGTGACCTTCCAGTKCAGGTGAGCAGGCACTTCCAGCGCTCATAAATACAAATGGCTGCCTTTGCACCAGCCCCTGTGACCATGTTTGTCTTTCATCTTCCTTTATTTTGCCATTAGCATTCAAATGACCAGCTCTGTATCTGATGGGAGAATATAGCCTTGCAAAAGACAAGAACAAAACCAAATAAAAAAAAAATAACCTGGAACAAATGCTGTCAGATATTCAAACCACTGCCTTATTGTGGAGTCTCCAAACAAGTGGATTACTTTTCCTTGCARGCACTTCGTAATATCCTCCGACTCGTTGAAATGATGGATCCTGTGTGTTCTGGGCCTCCACTGGTCTTGATAATAATAACCGGAAGGGGAAACATTGGGATCTTCAGCTATGTCCCTAGCACTTGAATCTAGAAGAGGAAAATTCTTTTAAGTTAACGTACAACAACAGAAAGAGCGTCCATAACCTTCATGGTCACATAACCAGAGATGCCTATATATCTTCCATAACTTAAAACAAATTAGTGTATACCACCTATATATGGCACATATACACCATACTATACAGTTTAAAAAGCTCCAAGCACCACACTATGTTTCTATACATCCCAAATACTGTTTTTTCTCCTGTTGCTGCAGCAAAAGTTGCAGTTATTGACAGAGCTACCTGAGCACTTACAGTTTAACTGTTCTCTCTGACAACAACAACAAAAACAGTAAAAATAGACACCTGCCATTTTTCACACTTTAGACAGAAGAGCTCAGTCTTGGGTACAGAAGGTGCAGGGGGACACGGGCTGGAAGAGCAGCAGAGAACATAAACCTTCCAGTAGGCAGAGGATGCCACAACCCCCAAGTGAGACTGTTCTTGAGCTGAYGACAAGAACTCGGAGCGCATCCAAAGGAGGCAACGAAGCCTCCCTATGAGGAGCGGCTGAGGGAGCCGCRGTTATTCAGTTATTCAGAGACTCCAGGGGGACCTTATCGCTCTCTACAGCTACCTGAAAGGAGGCTGTAGTGAGGTGGGGGTCGGTCTCTTCTCCAGAATAACTACAGATAGGACAGGAGGAATTGGCCTCAGGTTGCACCAGGGGAGGTCCAGGATTCCAATTCTTCCATGTTAGGAAGAGTTTCTGCACAGAAAGAGTGGTGAAGCGTTGGATTGCTCCTTGGCGGAGTCCCTGTCCCTGTTCAAGAAACATGTAGAGGAGGGACTTGGGGACATGGYTTAGTGGGGATGGATTTACAGTTGGACTTGATCTTGAAGGTCTTTTTTCCAACCATAATGATTCTGTGATTCTAGCTGCAGTCTCCTCTCWGCCAAAGTGCACGTCTTCCCTCTAGTGGCCAAAAACCAAGAAGAAAATCCCACCACTGGAACAATACACACTGATGCTCCTTACGTGCAGCAGGAATGAAGTTGAACTGTAAGGAGCCCCAATCTAGGAAGTGCCAGAGCTACAGCTACCATGGAGCATTTCATACGTGCCCCTTGCAGGTGTGAGCTGTGGCAGCCTCCACTTGCATAGATTCCACCTCCATCCAGTTAAGCTCTTAGCTAACTTAGAATGGCAACTACCTATTAAGAACAGTCCCTAGCACTCCCAGCTGGCAGCTTTTTGGAAATGGTTCGGAATGGTTTGGAATGGTTTGGAATGGTTCTATGCAATCTTCTCTTATGTCCTACACCAGTAGGACACTTAGCCTTTGTTGTATTTCATGAGGACACTGTGAAAACTAGGTAAACACTAATGCTGTGTTTGGATTGCTCAAACAATATAACCAGGAGTTGCACAGAAAAAAAGTCTTTAGAAATAAGCAATTTTATTTTCAGATAATCATTTAAATAGCATGATGCAAATAAAGTGCCAGCAAAGAAAAAAAATAGTGAAGCTTGGCTATCCAATCTGGATGAAACAGGAAAGGGAAAAATCCCAGCATGTGGTTATTGACTAATTCATAATGCATTGCTTCAACTCCGTTGTTTTTTTAAGTTTTGATGTAAAGAGTGTGGTTTATTTACCTCCGCTCAATTGATTCTTGGATTAGATGTATACACATACAAAATTAGAATCATTTTTTTGTGCCTCTCAGGAAACCTAATGCAAACATCTCAGTTTTCTCTTCAGTATCTTCAAAAGTTGTTACTTCTTTCAGATTTTAGGTAAAACCTCCAACCTGAATAACTGCGATCCAAAAATAAAAGTAGAAGCTTGTATTTCAGGAAAGGTATTGGTTAAAAAGCAGGCTATGATATGGCAGGAGGGAGGAAAAGATAATTTTGACTCTGTTTTAAAAATAGGCTTCATTACATTTCTGCTGAAACAGAAATGTATTTGCAACAAATCAAATGGCAAAGCAATTAATTTAACTGTGCATCAGTCCTAAGAAATCCAAACATTCATGATCATTACTCCATGGTATTAAGTTCATTCTATATAGACTGCTCTGTTGGAAGGAATTTCCCCGAGGAACATTGTGCCTGCCTTATCAACACTTTTGATCCAACATTAGCCCTCATGATTTGCAAGCAGGCATCACCCTTGCCACCAAAACAGAGGGGCAATCCCCTTCTGTTAAATCTCAAATTTGCATCAGTTTCCAAGAGGAAATACAGGCTGAGCAACTGTACAACAACAACAAATCTCATCTAAAGGGTCCGGAGAAAAAGGGGAGAATGTTGCTGATCTAGTAACAGCACTCTACTCTTTAGTGTCTATGATACCAGAACTAGAAGTATGAAATGCTGTACCTTTTTTTTTATTTATTTATTATGACTATTGCTCAGGTCAAGAACTGCACCTTTAACATTTCCTCCCCCTTACAGGAAAACACTGAAAAGCTCTCTATTAGGTAGGAATTCTCTGTGTATCACGGCTTTTGCAGTCTTTTTTTTAGGGGTATGAAACTATTGAGTTTAGGTTCACAGCTGTAGCTAATACAGCGTAAAAGGATAGTAATACTTATAGGCATCAACATCCACTTCGCAAAATTCTTAGCAAGAAAGGGAAGATAAAACAAAACCTCAAAGCTCATTTTGAAAGTATGCTGAGCAGTTGTCATATGTTTTATATCTGAACAAATGCTGGGGCAGGGGGGAAAAAGCCTCCTTTGGCAAGAAAACAGCAAACTCAGGATTTTGTTTATTTGCCAAAAAGCCCATTTAGCTACATCATTTTAGACACACTCTGTTAATAGTCCCAAGCTTGTTTGCATTACACTAACACTGAAAAGGCTCCATCTTCTCAATAAGAATTTAAACATTTACTTTGATTCTATGCTATGAAACAAGCACATTGATCATTAGCTCATGCCCATTGGCCTTTTTAATGTCTCTAAACATGAATTACAAACAAAATTCTTATAAAGTTTACTTTACCTGTAAATGCCTTGGGCTTTACAGTCACTGCATCAGGTCCACTGGGGAATATTGGCATTTTGATATTCACATCGCTTGAACAAAAATATAACAGTATATAGGACAGGAAATAACAGTATAGTATGGCTGTAAAATTGCAAAGTAGCGTTAACCCCATTATTTTCTTACCAGCTTCAAACAGGCACATAGGATTCGCAGTAAGTTCTGCTTGGGGTTTTTTTTTTTTTTTTTGAAACTTACCCTGCTTCCTGTAACTGATTTCATTACACATGAATTTCCTTCTGACCACTATCRCTGTTCTCAGGCCCCAACATTTGGCAGAGGCAGGACACAAGCTGCACACACATTTTTACTACGGCAAGCCCAGATAAAGGCATCCAGCAAGCCACCAGGGGCCCGCTATGCACTCTGGTGACTCACCACAAAGCTGAGAAATTCCCAGCTTGCRGTACGTGCGCTGCTGCCAGGGGCAGACCGCCTGAGAAGGCAGCGCTGCAGGGGCAGCTCCCAGCCCTGCTGCCTCTGGAGGTGTGCCACAGCCAACACCATTTCTGGAGGCAGCCACTGGTGTCAGCTCTGCAACGGCCAGGCTCGCTCTGCAGCGGCGCTGCACGGCCACGCAGCAGCGCAGCAGCACCACGAGCTGCAGTYGGAGCTACGAGCTGCGCTACCGCTGCTCTGAGCTGCCTCTGCAGGCACCTGGAGCCCCGGCCGAGCTCCGAGATGCCCAGCAGGGGCACCACCCAGGAGCAGGCAATCTACTGCAGGCACAAACAAGTTCAGCCACCTAGCACGAAGCGGCTTCACAAGCAGAGAGCATCAGTGAAGTCTGATGATTTTGTGTTGGATACATGTCAGTTCTGTGAAGCTCTGACATACAGAGGTTTTCGTACTTAAATGAGGAAAAGTCATTACCAGCTTATGGAAAAATAAGCTTAAGAACTGATTTTGAATAGGTAGTTCYGTCAAAAAATCCAAGTATACTTTTTGGTATTATAAAAATAGATACAGAAACAGATAGCAACAACAACAAAAAAAGAAAGAGTCTCCCAAACCACCACCAGATTTAGACAGCATGCTCTTGTGAAAATTAGCAGGTGCACCCAAGGCTGAATGCAAAGCCTACAGACAGAACTACACTCCTTTTACTTCAATTTGGGATTAATGTGTTCTTGCACAGCTGTATGGAGGGGAAGAGAATAGTTGGCAACTCATATCAACCAGATACAGTTAGATAAAACTCCTCTACAGCTGATAATTTATCCCACTTCACTAATAACCTTGTTTGTTTCCTTTAAAAAGGATAGATTACTTGACTGAGTGCAAATAAATGGAAGAGCAGACATACCTCTGAAAAAAGAGGCTTTCCTCTTGCGTCAGAAGACCTTTCTGATATCCCCCCTTGGCATGACTGATTCGACTGGCACAGGAGAGTTTCCGTGGCTTGTAGCAGAACCAGGGCTCCCCCGTGTAGAGATCTGTGAAGTTGCAGACCGGGAGATCTCCAGGCAAACACACGTTGCACTCGGTGGTTTCCGAAAACCTCCCCGACTTGAAGGAGCTTTTAAAATAGACTCGGTCTGGCCTTTCCTCTCGCAAGCGCAGGAGCACCTGGATTGCTTCACTCGGGTGGACAAGCGACACAGACACTTTGACCTCCCCTGGCCACAGTAAAGTAAAGAAGACCTTATAAAAGCCATTATGGCAATCTACCACCCTCCCCACTGCTCCAGCTTTCAGCAGAGGAGAGTGAATCCGTGCCTGCAGGTAGTCTCCTCCGTACTGCTTGGGTTTTCCTCGGAAGTCCTTCATCCGGACAAGCACCTCTAGCTGATCACCCACCTTGAAGTGCGCACCAGGTTTCACAATCACAAAGTCACTGTGTGCAGGATCAGTGCTTTGCACAAAAGGGATTTCGTCGTCAGGAGGTTTTGGCCAGAGCAGAGCCGCAAGCAACGACTCCTCTTCTGCTTGCTCTCTCTTGGACAAACGCTGCTGCTCATAGCCGCAGTAAGGCTTCCTGGCAATTCTAGTGCTCCGTGACAGAGTTTGCCCATCATTGTTTTCTGTTATCCAGCTTGACCCTGAAACAGTGGCATCATCTAGGTGCTGGGGGAAAAAAAGCCAAAAAAAAAAAAAAATTGAAATTAAGCTATTATACAAAGCACTATGAATAACAAGAAATGATCCTTAGAACTGTGCTTTGCTTTATACAGATTTGAAGCTGACCAAATGCAGTAACTGTACTAGAACATGA